GAACCCAAGAGGCAAGAGAATTTTGGGAATGATGAGGGCAACAAATGTATAGATGTGCTTTACACAATTGATCTATGTATTGTGATGAATTGTAATGAGCCCCAATAAATTGATTAATTAAAAAAAAAAAAAAAGAATGCCACTGTGTGGATTTTTTTCAAGTAGTCATTACATTAAATTACCTCATTATGAGATGTTTGCACTAATATTAAAAAAACTTGTGAGGATCACCCAGGCCCAGGTATTAAGTACTGGAACTGACATGATGTCACCTAACAATACAAGGCCGTGATATTACCATGATACCCCTATCTCAACCGTGCAGACATCCTTACCAAAGAGGGACTTCAGCATCTAAAATGGAACTTCCACTTCATCGTAACTGCTTACAGTGATAACTTTATCTCTTAAGAGGTATTAAATCTATTTAAAACAAATTCTGAAGTATATTTTGAATAGTCTCAATTAAAATAGTAAGCTATTTGAAACTGATTCAATTTCTTAAAAATCACAAAGGTTTTTGACCTTGAAGAAGAGTATCAATTACTCTTTGTACTTATATTCCCTTAATGATCAATTTATTAAACTTCCATATTTAACACTTGGAAGTTACTGTTTTAACCATAAACATTGATTGCCAGTTTAAATTCCCTTAATTTAAATAAAAATTAAATATAATTTTTTACCATTTAAAGCATCCAGACAAAAAATATATAAACTTCTTATTGCTCTTAAACTAATTCTAAAATAACAATCTTCTTGGGATTAAAGTAGTATTTTGCTATCTCCCTAGGGTCACAGAAATTCTATCAGGCCCAAAGAAGAAGAAAATTCCTTGCATCAGGTGAAGTGACAGATCCAGCTTATCAACTAAAGTGGCTTTTAATTGCAATTGGAACTGACTGACTGACGCTCCGAAGGTGATTCAAATCTCAGCAGCCAACTATCACAGACCTGTAAAGACCTGTGATATATCTAAAGCACTTAAACTTCATCAGTTACTTTTTATGACCTAATACTTTGCCCCAGACGTTGCTTTGCCGTTTCCCTTGGCCAGTGGTCCAAAAGCTTTTGCCTTGTTACTATCGACCATACACACTAACTTGTTCTGTTAGAAACCTGTGTTTGCTGTTTTGGTACAATTGGCAGTTACCCCTGGGCTGCTAACTGTAAGCAATACGAAACTACCAGCCATTCCTGGAGAGAAAGGTGAGGCTTTCTACTCCTAGAGAGATTTACAGTCTCAGAAGACCACGAGGCAGTTCTACTCTGTCCTACTGGGTTGCTATATGAGTCAGAATTGAGTCAATGGCAATGATTTTGGAGTTTGAGCAGGGTCATCTACTGTTTTACTTCCTAAGAAATAAAGGATTAACTTTGTGCAGAAAAGTCTCCTTTATTAGGCTACCTGGGTAATTAATCACAGTGGGACTTAGGAAGACTTCTTAAATGTTTTTTGTGTGAACTGCTAATGCTGTGTGCTCCTCCAATTTTGGGCACAACTCTTATTTTTTCCAGAGCTTATTCAAAATTGTTTTGTTGTTGGTTTTCTATTTACATTTTAAAAAATGGAGATATCTTGAGCTTTATAACCAGATGTGTAGAGAAAACAAAATGCACATGTATTACGGTGTTGCTGTGAGTTTGAATCGACTTGATGGCAATGAGTACAAGGTTTTATTTCTTAAAGAAGACCCTAGTAGTGCAATGGATTAAAGCATTGGGATGCTAACTGCAAGACGGGCAGTTCAAATGCACCATTCAGTGGGAGAAAGAGGAAGCTGTAAGCTCTCATAAAAACAGTCTCAGAACCCTGTGGGGCTGCTCTACTCTGTGCTATACGGTAGATGAGTCAGAAACAACTCAGTGACAATGGTTTCGGTTTTGGTTTTGTGGTGGTGGTGGTGGTGGTGTATGTTGCTATTTCTTAAAATCATTAAAAACTTTAAAACACCCTACTATAGGTACTATATTTGACAATGTTCTATGGCTCTTCATACATTTTCACTGGCTAATTCCTCAGAAGTAGACAGCCTATTCCTTCTTTGTAGCCTGTTCTTAGTCTGCTGAAACCTGTTTAGCTTGAGTGATCCTGCTGGTATTTAAATACCACTGACAGTTTTCAGTATCACAGCAAGACAAAAGCCACCAAAATACAACAAACTGACAGACAAGTGATTGGTAAAGTAGAGGGGCAGGAGAACAGAGGAAGACTGACACAGGGGCTGTCACAAGGGACTCCAACCTAACGACTGTGAGGATGATGTAGGACTGGGCAGTGTTTCACTCGGTTGTGCACACAGCCATTATCGTCAGAACTGACTTGACAACGCCTAACAAGAGGTCCTACTTTTTTCACTTTAAGACGATCTTTTGTATACTATTAATGTTTGCTTAAGAGCCCCAACAGCTCAGTGGTTAAGCACTCCCTTCCTACCTGACAAGCCAGTGGCCTGACCCCACCAGCTGTACCTGCCCGCCCTCTTGTCAGAGAGGTGGCAGTCAGCTTCTGTAAAGATTACTGCCTTGAAAGCCCTGGGAGGCAACTCTATTCTGGGCTATAGGGTCTCTTTAAAGAGTCAGCATTGACTCAATAGCACAAGCAACTTTAACTTTTTGAATATCACTATGAACTCATAATCTTTCATAAATTTATTTCCATAAGCTAATTAGCTGTGTTCCCTGCTTAAACTGTCGCAGTTTGGCTTGCCCTTTACCCTTTCAGCACTGCCCAGACATTCTTGAAAGCAGCCTTGCTTCCTAGCAATAATGAGATGTTTCAGACCCATCCTTGTATCTTCATGATTCAAGATAGAACAACTATATTTTAGTTCCTGGCTTATTTTAGCCCTAGCACCCATATGCCTGGAACACGGTACACTCAATAAATATTTGTGGAAGAATAAACACATAATATTAGAGTCAAAATATAAGTATTAGGAGCAAAGGCAAGAGGTAGTGGTGTGCAAAATGTAAGACTGCTATTGCTGGGCCACTTTCCATAGCAACAGAGCAGAACAAGGTAGTTTTTAAAATTTAACTTCCTATTTCAAATATGTCACAGTGTTCTTCTGTTATATACAAAGTATACTAAAGCTAAAATTCTAAAGCACTTGATTAGTGGAAAGCTGTAATCTACTATGAGAGTCTAACTCCATTTTGAGCCCTAATTTAAATTCAGACTCCGTTTGTATTTTCCCTGGTCATTAACCAGCAATGTGGCAGTTTTGCCCTCCTGAAGAGCATGTATGAAAGATCACAACTCCCAGGCTAGTCCGGGTTGATATGTGTTATCTTGAGACTTGCACAGAGAACCAGGGAACATGCCTGAGTATCCCCTTAGTGATATACCGGAAATAGTTCCGTTACTTAAAGTTGGGGTTTTGATGGCCACGATTCAGGTCCAAATGCCCATTGGTGGAAGCGGATCCTATAAATTTTTTTCATCGGTAACTGTGTATGTCTTCCAGTCACGGTGCTTTCTTCAATTCTGTAGTCCTGCCCGTGGCAGTGATGAACGGGCCTGCCACCAAGCCTGGTTTTGTACCGATTTCTTTTGTCTTCCACTATATCAGTGGACTCCATTTTTGGCCTCTGTACTCTGTCCATCCTGACAGTTTCCCTCATTCTAGGATGATTGCATTTGTCTTTGTTTTTCTCCTGTCTAAGGTTCAATATAGCACATGTACATATTGGGAGAACGAAGGGGCTTTCTACTCCTGTAAAGAGTCACAGTATCAGAAACTCATGGGGCAGTTCTATACTGTCCTGTAGATTCACCATGGGTCAGCACAGACTTGACGGCAGTGAAAAAGAGAATATATAGTATATGTTTAAACTTGACATATTTTCTTCCTTCGCACAATGGTTTCTTTGACCACTACAATTTTTCACTACACTATCCAGCAACTTACATGGAATTCACTCTGGAAGTCACTGAAGGACACCTCAGGGAGAAAGATAAAACAATGGAAACTAAGGTACAAAGAGCCTTGGTGACCACCGGTCCAGGAGACATGCCATGGGTATTAAGAATGTTATGAACAGAGAAAATAAACAATGTCTTCAAATTTGAGTTCCAAATAACAGAACAACAAAGCAGACTTTTGGAATAGCAGGCACTGGTTGCCAGTGAGCTGCTTGTCATATGGGTGGTGCTAAGCAGCAGGATCCAAGGGCAGCAGAAACACTGCTTTCATATGTAAAAGTAGTAAAGGAGCTACTTACACATCAAGCAATGCAGGGTAGGCCAGACTAGCTGTAAAGAGGTAAATAAATTTCTATCTCCAGCAGACAAAACTTCTTTCTAACTCTGTCCATGTAAACATACCTTGAATGTTTTGGTGGTTGAGTGAAAGTTCGGTCTGTGGAACTGACACAGAAAACATTGGACAATTTGCTCTAGGATGAAAAAACAAAGTAATCAATAAATTAAAATATGCTTTAAAGTAGAAAGAAAAAATTATCATTCAAATGTGTTTTTTTTTTTTACTTAAAGGGTTTTCAAAATAGGATATTATTTTGTTACATCATTGCCCTTTCTTTTACAGTTGCTACCAATTTGTCACATTTCTATTTCAAGTAATTGCAAAAACGAAAATGAGACCGGAACAATTAATGGATGAGTTCCAAATGTTTAAAAAGCTTAAACATTTAGGTTTGGAAGTGACTTTGGAAATGACTGTCTTACAATCATAAGGGTGACGATGTCAGAGAGAAAATGATACTGAATTGGAGCTTAGTTACCCAATAGCTATACAGTTTAACTATCAAATAACCTGAAAACATGCCCTTGTGGTTTTAGATGTAAGTAAAAGTCAATAATGAGAAAATCCTCAGACATTATTTATCATTCTTGTATTTAAGCAGATGTAAGGAATAAAGTATTGCAGGGAATAGGTTGAAAACAAAATAAGGGCCATACCTAAGTAATTTGCAATTTTGATCATTTGCCTTTGGAAAATTAAAAGTTGATTGAAGAAAAGCAATCAGTTAACTCCCTCACCCTCCACCCCAAACCTAATTTAGTGTATCAATGCAATCAAGATAGTTCTTAACAAAAAGGCTGTTTCCAGTGTTTTATGAGTAGTGTTATGCACAAGGCATTGCTACCTGAATCCTAGGAAAGAATAAGAAATTAAGTATTCTCTCTTGTCCTAAAATAGAAGTGATCAATATAAGCTATCTTGAAAATGGAAATGGAATCACTCAAATAGAATGGTAATTTCATGGCAACAAATTTAAAAGAATACTAATTCTTTTTCTTAAAATATAATTCTTTGAGAACAAGCTGACTGAAAACAAAATAAAACCAGAGTCTAAGGACAGAATTCCTTAATTACAAAACAGAATTTAAGACATGTCTGAACACAGAACAAAATGATATCGAAATTACTAGAAAATAGGTACTTAAAATAGACAACACTGCAAACAACTTCAAGGTCCAATATTGAACCACTGAGATATATAGATCTTCTCAATTGGAGCCCTGGTGACGTGCGGGCTGCAATCTGCATGCTCCACAGTTTGAAATCCCCAGCAGCTCCTCAGCACAGTCTGGGTTTTCTACTTCCATAAACAGTCACCGTCTCAGAAACGCACAGGAGGCCACTGTGTCAGTACTGACTCAGTGGCAGTGAGTTAATGTTGGTATGTTTGTTTTCAAAAACTCCACCTCCCTGAAAGTGTCAACAGTATAAATATTACTACCGATCTCATCAGAAAATTCCAGGTATTGCAAAGGCCTCAATATCATGGTGATGATTAAAAAAAAAAAAAAAAAGATCATGGTGATGAATAAAAGATTTCCAAAATTCTAATTTTCACATGAAAGCTTAAATTTTTCCCCTAACATAGAATACCAATACCCAAGCTGACCAGCATATTTCATTCATTTTCAAGAAAAGGTCTGGCAAAACACCCAAATGTGAATAACCAGTGTGTCTACCAGTTTTTTTCAAGTGTTTTTTAAAGTGTTCCATGAAACATGAAGCCAGTTCTGCACACAAGTGCACATGTACTTTCCTCAAGATTTCAGTATTAACATTAGTGCTTTAAGCATATTTCCCATTTCATCACACAAAACATTTTAAAAGACATACACTCAAGAATGGAGATTTAATAAAATAAATAACTTTTCTGCTTTATCAAACACTTCTTGGGTGAAACTCATTTTTTTGTTGTTGCTGTTTTCTAAATTGTGAGCTCATAACAAAACACTGACTATTCCATAGGCATCAGCATATTAGCCCTACTGTTTTAGCACTATCCTCACATGTGCAAATGTCAAGACTGTGCAATGGGCAAAGAATGTGTCAGTGTTATTGTGAAAATAGTTTTGATCTCCAGGCCATACGAAAGGGTCTCAGGGTCTCCCGGAGGTCCACACACCACACTTGGAGAACACTGTGCTGATGGGCAATTTTAAGCCAAAATTATCCTTTGCAGTCAGCTCCAATTAATACCTACATTGCTTTCAGGCTTACAAACTGCATAAACTAATGTCATTGCAAACATGAGTTACCTCATGACCAGTCAGCAATGTCTGAGCAAAATAACATGTGTATACTCATGACCAGTCAGCAAAGTGATTAAAAGAAATGAAAGAAAATGTCAGCATATAATAGTTATCTTAAGTCCAATTTCAGTGAGCTCTATAATTTTTTTCTTTATGCTATACTGTAAATTTGGTTTAAAAAATATGAACAATCAACTTACCTTAATGAGTCCATCTTTCTTATGAAATTAAACATATCTGTTGTTATAAAATTTGCAAGAGCCCCCCCAATAAAATGATTAATTAAAAATTAATTAAACATATCTAAAAGTAAACTTATCTAAAATGTATGCAAAATAACAGGTTCATGCTGTTAAAGGGGCAATAAACTAAGCGATTCTGAAACTTGTCAAATGAAAATGAGGATCCATTTTAGATATGTAAGATAACAAAAAATACTTCATAAAGCCAAAACTTAGTATACTTACTGTAAGAGGGCTTGATTTTGTTCCACTTCATCTTCAGATTGCTAGGAAGGGAAACAGCAGATTTTTTCTGATATATGTCAACTCAAAGAAAAGCTAAAAATTTAACATTTAAGAACAGTCCTGTGTTATTACTTTTAAAGAATTTGTGGAACTTGAGTGAAGAGAGAAAGAGAAAGATCCTTAACAAGATGGAATGACACACTGACTGCAACAATACATGGCACCCCCCAACTCCCCCCACACACATACAAAAAAAAAGAAAACAGGAAAAAACTCCACTGGGTGGAGCTTTAGTAGTTCATACTTTTCCAGCTAGGTGAGCATTGAGCAACTTGCTCTGAGTTAGTGCACCCAGTGGCATCAACTGGGAAGGTTCTCTCTGATGACAGTGAATTTTCTCATGTAAGTAGTTTCGCTCGAAACTCATTTTTTGTGATGGCCAACTTAAGAGACCAGCATGCAGCTGTGAAATTTTGTTTCCTGCTGGGGGGGGCGGGGAAATGTCGCAGAAACAGCTTACAAGGAGAGTGCTATTGGAAAAACTCAAGTGTATGAGTAGTGCTATTTGAAAGTGCTATTGGAAAAACTCAAGTGTAGGAGTAGTTTTCTCATTTCATAAAGGTGAAATGTCGATTGATGATAAACCTCGTCCTGGACGTCTGTCAACTTCCCCAATGGGCAAAAATGTCAACTCACAGTGTATTTGGAATTCTTCCACCAGGTCAGACTATTAATCAAGCTTTCTATCTAGAGGATCTGAAAAGATTGCGTTACCAATGTGAGACAAAAAAGGCATAATTTGTGGCAGATAGGGGATTGGTTTTGCCACCATGACAATGTACCTGCTCATGCAGCCATCTCAGTATACTGGTTTAGGGCAAAAAAACAGCATGCCTCTCTTGCCCCACTCACCTGACCTCATTCCATGTGACTTCTTTTTGTTTCAGTGAATGAAGAGGGGCATAAAAGGACACTGATTTGACGATGCAGAACAGGTGCAGAAAAAAACGAGGGAGATGCCATCCAAATAGGTGAGTTTCAAAAATGTTTCCAAGAATGGAATCGCAGATTTGACAAATGTATTAAGTGTAATAGAGAGTACTTTGAAGGTGATAAGGTTTTGTAAAAAAAAAAAAAGTTTAATACATAATTTGGGGGGAAAAATCATTTTTTGATACCCCTTGATAGACTCAAAGCAAAGATTGTGAGGATGGCTGAGAGGAGGTGCTTTGAACCCCAAAATTTGCATCTTTAATGTTTTGTAACCTGTTAGCTTCTCTAATAAAGCCCCACAGGCATGAACACTGTCTTGAGTTCTGTGTGGCCGTTGCAACAAATCATCGGACCCAGCAGAAAAGTGTGCTCTGAGTGGGACAGTTAGTATCAGAATAAAGGCAGGCTGGAGGGTGCAGGCATGCCTGACCTCTGCCTCACAGGAATCATCCTGGGGCAGATGTGTGGCTGGGTTCTCCTTCTCCTTTGCTTAGCTTAAGGAGGTCAGATGTGGTCCCATGCCATTTCCTCATATTCCAATGTATGTATGTACTACGTTTGTTCATTCGCCTGTTGATGGGCATTTAAGTTGCTTCGATCTTTGGGTTATTGTGATTAGTGCTGCAATGAACATTTGGGTACAAATCTCGGTTTACGTCTCTGCTTTCGATCTTGTGGGTATGTGCCTAGGAGTAAAATTGCCAGGTGATATGGAGGTTCCATTTTTAGTTTTTTTGAGGAACCACCACACTGATTTCCATAATGGCAGTCCCATTTTTCATCCTCAACAGAATGGATAAAGGTTTTCATTTCTTCATATCCTCGGCAACATTTTTATTTTATCTTTTCCTTAGCCATTCTAAAACCAAACTCATGCCCAATTCCAACTTACATTGACCCTGTAGGACCTCCAGAGGATTTCCATGATTGTAACTATTTACATAACTAAACTGTCACATTTTTCTCCCACACAGAGGGACTGTGGATTAGAACTACCAATTTTCTGGTTAACAGCTAAGCACTTTATGCACCACTAGCTCATCCTAAATGGTAGTGCACTGGTGTCCCTTTACGGTTTTGATTTGATATCTGTAATGGTGAGCATCTTCTCACGTGTTTAGTGGCCACTTCAATGTTCTCTTTGGTGAAATGTCTATTCAGATCCTTTACATTTTATGATTGGGTCTCCTGTCTATTTCTTGGTAAATTAGCATCCTTTTAAATATAGGTGGATTAGGCCGGGTTGACTAGATAAACAAATCCAGTGACACTCATATATGTGCAAGAAAGAGCTTTATATCAAGAAGTAACTATGCATCAATAAAACATCCCAGCCTAGTCCAACTCAAGTCCGTAAGTCCAATAATAGTCGGCAAATAAGTTCCTCTTGGTAGTGGAAGAATCCAGTCTCAGTGTGGCCAACCACCAGAAAGGGGAAAGTAGAGAAAGGGGGCGAGGTTCCCAGGGCCCTCCTTATGAGAAGGCTATGCTCACAAGGAGGACCATTGGGCTGTGACCTGACTGACAGGCTAGACTCAACCCCATACACTTTTACATATCTTCAAGTTGACATGAAATTATTAACTACCACAATAGGGTCGGATTCTTGTCATATATATATATATTTTAGAAGATATTCTCCCAATCATTAACTTATTTTTTCCTGTGTTAGTAAGGTCTTTTGATGAACAAAGTTTTTGCTTAAAAAAAACCCAACATTTTATTGTGCTTTAGGTGAAAGTTTACATAGCAAGTTTCTTTATCCAATCAATAGTTCATACCAAATGGTTCCATAACACAGGTTGCAATCCCTGAAATGTCACAGAACTCTCCCTATTTCCTTCCTGGGTCCCTGTTTCAATTCATCCAGTTTCTCCCTTGTTTTCTTCCTTCTCTTCTTGGGTTTTGGCAAATGTTAAAAAGATTTAAATTTTTAAGGAGGTCCTATATATTTATCTTTTACTGTTTGTGCTTTTGTTATTGTATTAGGTCATCTACTCTTCTAAGTCAGACCTGATAGCGCGGCCTTTGTATTTTCCTCTAAGGATTTTATGGTTTTACTTGGTACATTCAGGTCCTTAATCCATTTTGGTTTTGTGTTTGATATGAGGCATGGATTCTATTTCATTTTTCTGTTGTTGAAGTTTTGATTGGGAATGCATTAAATCTACATATTTCTTTGGGTAGTATCGGCATTTTAATATATTAAGTCTTCCAATTAATGACATGGAAGATCTTTTCATTTATTTATTTATAGAAGTTTTCAAAGATTATATCCTTATTCTGTAATCTTTCAGTAGTGCTTTCTAATTTTCATTGCATAAATCCTCACATCCCTAGTTAAATTTACTCCTAGCCGTTTTATTTTCTTAGATGTTATTGTATGTGGAATTGTATCCCTAGTTTCCCTTCCAGATTTCTCATTACTGGTATATAGAAAACGAACTCGTTTTTGTTTAATGACACTGTACCATGCAACTTTATACACTTCTCCATCAGCTCCAGAAATTTTCTTGTGTACTCTTTTGGCCTGCACAAATATTTTAGATTGACCATATTTGTCGTAGTCACCTAATCTGGTGTCAATTTAAGGATAAAGAGTGTAGAGGTTCAGTCTAGGCTATCAATCTGGCGATAGCCAATGACACTTCTGTGTG